TTTGGAAACTTTAAACGCTCATAACTCCGTTTATACAAAACTTTAAGGTCCTGAGAGTGGTTCCATTGGTTTCTTGTAAAGTTTTCTTCACACAAGACCTCTTGAAATGTTAAATGTGACGAAATAAACACAAAAATGTGCAAGATAAATAAAATATTCCATGTCCGACCTCCCTAATTGACTCGATCCACTGTGCGGCACCCGAGACGATGACTATGTCTTTCCTTGAAAATGATTTTCTTTGGAATAAAATGTCTTTGTTTACCTTCTCCTCGGAGATAAAATAGTCCCTCCTCATCCGACACTCCTCGCCTCCGCAGCCGCACAGGCCCTTGCCCCTGGCAAAACCGCGAATACCTCCCTCCATGCTCGTGAATCTGGCACGGCACTGAAGAATTTATGGCAAACGTATGCAAATGTGCTCTCGCCTCACAAGTCTGACAAATGTGTGAGCATGAGCATGACCATGCTCCCGCGCTGAGGAAGAGCACCGTATGAGCCTTCAGACGTTGCCAAGTTTCTTTTGATAGCAACCGAATTTCTCGGGAAAATTGTAAGAGTTTTTCTCCAAAATTTTCAAACAATTTTGAACCCAATTTGATCTAAATTATCTGAAAATTTCAAAGAAAAATGTACATGCGTGTCGTCAAAAATACGTGTTTTATCAAGGGAAATTTGACAACTCTCGAATGTTCATACGGCGTTTTTCCTTCGTTCGGCAGCATGGCTCGAAATTGTCGCGCGGATGTTTAGGGAGGGGGGGGGAGGAGTTCTCCGGGGCCAGGAACCCCCTAGCTATACGTCCATGTGTTTATGCGTAAGTGTGTACCTATCCAATAAATTTAGTATGAAGTGACTCTTAAAATGAGTGCAATTCACCTCGATTCCAAGCTCCAGTAACATTCACATCGGACAGCCGTGTAAGATCGAGCAGGAGTAGCTCTTAATGCTGCCGTGCTGAGGAAAAACGCCGTATGAGCCTTGAGACGTTGGCAGTTTTACTTCAATAAAAATCGAATTTTCTTGGAAAATTGCAAACATATTCCTTCAAATTTATCAGATAATTTTGTTCGCAATGGAGATGTTGCATGTGTGAGGAATTTGCAATTTGACTGTCGATTCTTATGTAAAAGTTCGAGAGAAACACGATGGTGCCACTGGTTTCCTCTGAAATCAACTCCCATGCTCGCAAAAAAAGCTCCCAAGTCGAGGCAAAAATGAAGGGGATATCCCACGCTCTCCTGAGAGTCCACCTCTACATCAAAACAAACTCGCCATGCAAAGATAGGGAGCAAATATATTAGCAGGGTTGCCGTATTTTCAGTTTTAGAGTCCCTAAATGAAGTGGCAGCCCTGTCAATGTATTTGCTCCCTATCTTTGCATGGAGAGTTTATCTTGATGTAGAGGTGGACTCTCAGGATAGCGTGGGATATACCCTTCATTACGCCCTCAACTTGAGAGCTTTTTTTGAGCTTGGGAGTTGATTTCAGAGAAAACCAGTGGCACCATCGTGTTTCTCGCGAACTCTACATAAGAATCAAGTCAAATCGCGAATTCCTCACACATGCAACATCTCCATTTTGTTCGCAATTTCATCTAAAATATCTGAAAATTTCAGGGTTGGAATATGAATTTTCCTTAGCACGGCAGAATAGGGCAAGGAAGAATCTAGCCCTCCCTGGAATAAGGTTCGTTGCGCTAATCGCGAAATTGTGTTTTTTAGGTATCGGGTTCGAATCCCGGCGGTGGCGACACATTTTCAAGGAACTGACGAGCGGATCTGCAGAAATAGACTCCACTCGACCTTACTCCCTGAAAATGTGTATGCCTGGAGCATGGATATGTATACTATTCGTAGCCCGCTACTCATTCAAGATTGTAGATCGAATCCTGAAATGGAATAAAAACTTCTAATAACCGCTTGGGAAAAAAATTGGAGAAAATCGTGTTTTGATGATTAAGCCCTGCGCCAAGATTCTACGTCCGTGACTAACGGAGATGCAACTCCTTGAGAAACACGACGCATGACGTCATTTGGCAGTGCATGCCATGGTTTCATCCACCCCTTTTTCATCAATTCGTGATACCTACACATATTTGCATATGTGACTTTGACGTGAAAAACGGATGAAACCGTGGTGGAAGAAACCTTGGTATGCACTACCACGGTAGAGGACGTCATTCACCGTGTTCACTCAATCTCCTCCCTTCGTTGCTCAGATCCAACTCTTGATTATTGCGCCGAAAACCGATTGAATTCTACGAGGGTCATCCGAAAAGTAAATTTTATCCCTTCCATATCTTCGAAACGTTGTTCAAAAGCGCAATTGACAAAATAAAGTAAAACTTAAGAATAGCGGTGACAATTCTCTAGCAAATTGAATTCTTCAACAACCATGTACCTACCGTTTAGAGAAAATTTTCTCTAAACGGTACACCATGTCATTGAAGAGGAAATAAGAGGCGGAGGGAATAACTCTAATTACACTACACTGCATAGTATTCAAATTGTTAAAGAATTCAATTTGCTAGAGAATTGTCACCGCTATTCTTAAGTTTTACTTTATTTTGTCAATTGCCTGATTTAAATCAGGCCAAGTCCAGAATGTATGAGAGGCTTGAGGGAATAGGCCTAGAAATGCTTGTTCGAAGTTTCAAAATTAAAGGAAGCCTTACCGCAGAAAGGAAGTTCAAACTCTCTTTTGGATGCTTCAAAATTAGAATCGGGGAATGACTTTTTCGCGAAATATATTTTGAGACTAATTTTAGTTGCATTCATTATTATCTTAATTTCTCCAAAAACTACACTTCAGCGCCTTGTCCTCCAAGCTCTCCATATGTATACGGACGGTGAATCAAATATTTTCCCTCTTCATTTCCCTTTCTGGCTTTCGGTTGACATTTAACACTGTAGGTAGTAAAGGGGGGGGGGAGGAGGAGAAGGAAATATAATGACTTCTAAAGATATCCTTAAAAAAACCTTTTAGCTAATGTTACAGGTCTTCACAAGGAAAAAGCAAATTGGTCTCACCCTTAACCTTTCACCCGACAAATTCAGGGGATGGGACTCTCTCATTGTTCTGTCACGCAACGCTCAACCGTTGTGTCGAGTCGAATCACAATTAAGTTTTCTCATGGATTACTTGTTTTTATTTCTTATTCGTTTATTTGCCCAATAGTTTATTGTTGTATTTATCGGTTTTTATAACCATTTTGGCTAGGGTTACGCCATAATAGCCTTTGTTTTAGTTGGCAGCTCGAAATTATATCTTCCTGGAGAGTTTTTTTACCTGTCACTTACCTTGAAAACTGATCGCAACAACAGTGTGCCCGTAAAAATTTCGAACTGTCTACCTGACGTGATATTCAGCGTCTTTTGTAGATCCAGCTGCCTCGCCTTTCTTAGTTGAATCAAGTAAAACAATATTCATTTGTCAATCTGTATTCATTAATTTCAGCCGGAAAAAAAAGAATGCTAAGAAAAAAATATAGCCTTGATACCTTTTTTCTTTATTTTGTTCTAAGAGGTCTTACGATTGCACACAATCATCATCAGACAATACACTATGTATCACATGTTATTAAACATGTGTTAATATTAGATATCTTTAGGTTTCATCTATTAGAAGTCAACATTAATACTACTAAAATCTGAGTGTAAACTTATTACATATTTTAGTCTGACTAATTTTAATAAAAAATAATATAAAAATAACTCATATTCACAAATCAAAAGTTTAGAAAAAGGATAATAAAAAAACACGTAACCTTTGATTTATCAAATACGGCCAAAAGGCCTTTAAAATCTCAAAAGCAAGTAAGTAACTTCAACTTTTCCGACACAGAATGATTTCTGAAATATTTCTAACTTTGGAAACAGTCAACTGAAACAAATAGTATTATAATTTATCATAAAGTTCTCTTGAGCAAAAAACCCCTCCTCTAAAATAACAAATAGCAAAAGGCTTTAATACCAAAAAAGAAGTTACCAAGTTTTATAACACTTAGTTTAGGCAACGATAGGGTAAAGTGGACATCTGCATTTCAACAATTTTTCTCTCTCCTTAAGTACAGCAACTTACATTCCTTCGTGAAAAATCATACATCATCATAGCATAATTATTCTGTTGAACATGAAGCCTACATTCTGTAGTATTAAACACATATTTTTGCTTCCTTTTTGAAAGAACGAATGTGTATAAATCAACCGAGACGATATGTAATTTTATAGATGAGTAGACATTTTGGTTTCTTAACGGCAGATGCAGCTCAAATGGTGATGAAATTAAAGCATGCTGCGCTATTTCACGGTGGCTTTGATTCCGGCGGCCGGCGGGTTAAGTTTTAGGGATCGTGTTGCGACTCAAAACGCCTTCACAAAGCTGAGTATGCAACTTAGCATACGTCAACTTAAAGCTGCTTGCATTCATTGTTGTTACGAAAGGCGTGGGTATTTTTAATGGAGTAGGGGACCTAGTTCCCGCTTAAAGCGTCACATTATCGCGAATTAGTCAAACCATAGCGTGCTTTCCAGTAAGTTTAGATTGTAATCATTACCGAGTTAAAAATTCAAGAAAGTATGGAAGGAGTAAAAAAGTCACTGGTGTCAATGATATTCCTTATTCGACCTCATTCCCTGCTGCTTTCATTGGATTGCGTATGTACTGTAGGTACTGATTCCCAAAAGCGCTTAAATTCGTCGACGATAATGTACAATGGTTAGTCTTTTTTATTTTGTCTTACTTGTCAATTTTCCTAGTTCATTATAAACTCGAAGGTATCGCTCTTTGGAGGAAAAGGTTTATTGCAAAACACATTATGCAATACATTTAATTAAAATATAATATGCAGTATTCTAACTTTGGTCTCATAAATACCTTTGTTAAGACGTGTTCTTTTCCAAGCTAAAATTGATATCATGAGTGGCCACTGTCATTTATAATGCTATTTGCCTAAAGTACAGCACTTGAGATACGGAAAATGATTTTCCTTGAGAGATAGACGCAAAACTTTGTTTGGCGGCTTGTAGGCTGAAGCGAATTCTGTGGTTGAGGCTTGAAACTTGGAATTATTGTATTTCAATGAGTTGGTGGTACATTCGCAACCAACTTGTAATGATATAACACTGCGAATTATTCCAGAATGGTAAGTCTTCGGTAATTTGAGAAGTTTTTATATTTTTGAAAATTTAAAATCCACGTTCACACGCAATAAAACTATCCCAAAAGTTTCGGGGTCGGTGGTGTGCTACCAAAATTATCGACTTTTGTGATTTTCCTGGTTGGATTTAAAAAATTGTCTAATTTCATTTAATATGCACATATTGAAACTATTCAGATACGAAAATGAACTGAGTTGCCGATTAAAAAAAAAAAAATAATAATAATAATAATAAAAAATGTCTGCTGATGATCTGCAGAATATCAAAGATGAAGTCCAACTTGAAATTTCTCGCGGTGAATGTGAAGACGAAGAAAACGTACTAGAGGCTGAGCCCGCGTCAGTTTCTTGCACAGACGGTCCGGTGGAACAGCGAGACATTGTACCGGGATTACACACTGATGAAGGCATCNTAAATCACAATTTTTTAAAATCACTCTTAATTTGCATGGTCCATTAAGATTACCTTCTACTGATTTAAATTTGGAGGTGATAAAACGTACTGTAATAGTGCGGAAACATATACTGGTCTCTTGAATAAAATAAATGATGAATACTTCGACTATCAAAAGGGAACAGAGTGTAGATAATTTTAATTAGTACGTTCCTTTTATGTTTTTTTCTCAAATTTTTTCCAAGGAATTTTCTCAAGCTGACGTGAGGATGTTGGCTCTTTTTGCTGTTTTCTGGCTTGCGTTGGCACATCGATCTTTGGGCTCTGAACACATCGACGAGCTATTGAAAAAACATCCAACTTGGTCGGTGAGTAGATATGGCTGGACGTTTCACAAAAATTATACTCAATTATTGAACACAATTGTAACGTAAAATAATTCTGGGTGTGGTGAATGTCGGCCCTTTAAACCAATGAGCGGCTTCTCAGTGTTACTCTTTCACGATGCATAAACAAATCTTAGGAGAGGTGAGTAAACAATTTGAATTGGCATTGTGAAGTGAGCATGCACTGTACACTTGACCAAACAAACTAGACTTCTGCCTGCGGGGCGATTATTGAAATGATATCGACTGTATGTCAGCGCTTTATCGTGTCGCGCCATCGACTAAGCAATTGCTTAGTCGATGGCGCANAGCGCTGACATACAGTCGATATCATTTCAATAATCGCCCCGCAGACTGACAAATTATAAAACTTGAACAAGACTCGGGTGTTTTTCCTCAGACACATGAAACGACACGTACACATTTATTTTTTTGAACAAACAACTAAAGTTTCTAGTCTCTCATTCTCATTTAATTCTAACATCTACATACATATAAGTCGCTTTACAGCACTCCCTCGCGCTCTACGACTCCTAACATCCACTGCTCTCTTTCAAGCCACAAATCTTGGGGGATTGAGCACCTTAACATTTCCACTTCAATCCCTTCCCTCCAACCTTTCATTGGGCGCCCTCTGCGTCTTCTCCCAGGAGGAACCCAGTCAAGGACCTTCTTCGGCAACCTGTCTCCTGCCATTCTCTGGACATGACCATACCAAATGAGTTGTTTTGTCATAATGTCATGCATTCTAACATCTCCAATTCCATATATTGCTCTCTATGTCAGCATTATCCCCTTACAATCGCCTATTTTGCTATTATGATCAAAAACCTATGCTACACGCGACAAAATTCAAAATTCCCTCCCTCCAAACATCCATTTCTTAAGCTCCGATGATCCAAAAATAACTACCGAAATTCTAAAGCTATTTAAGCAAGCAAATCTTAAATTTTAGGGTAAATTTCTGGTCTCCAACATATTTGTAAATAGCCAGTTGCTGATCGTCGTGATTAAGTAATTATAACTAAAGTTTCTTGTAAAATGTCCTTTCATAGCCGTCATGAGAGGTGTGGAGGAAACGGGTGCCGTATAAGTTTCTTGTATTATCTTTCTTTTTCTTATAAAATTTAAACAAAGGATCTTTAAAAAAACCATAACTAAGTCAATCCACCAAATATACTTCAGTAAAATCCAGAAAAAGAAGTGTCAGAGCAATGAAATATTGTTCGTGATAAGTTCACACAAACGCATTTCATTTAAAACAACGGTGTGGTACCTATTTGTTCCGAATGAAAAAAGAGTTGTTAAATAGATATTTTTTTCTTTCAAAAATAGTTAACTTTTCAGTAGGAGAGGTGAATTTTTTTTAAAAGGGCTGCGTTACAATAAATGAATCATCTGCGAATGTCAAAATATACGCAAATATCAATTGTGTTACGTTGTTTCTCATATTTCCACTTAAATAGGTATATATGCTCTTGGAGAAAATTTCCTCCAGAGAATAAAGTTAAACAATCAGTTGCATAAAACTGTATTCTGGATGAGCAAAGGCACTCCGGAAGATTGGAAATAAATACCACCAAAGATATATGAATCAGTGAGAACAAAAACACACCAACTCCGAAAAATGAAAGTAATCAAGACACACACAAAACTACACAGTAGATGAAGAAATTAGTCTAAGAAAAAGATTTTTGGTGCCAAAAGACAGGCGCTTACGGGCATTTTAAAGGTCCAAGTTGGAACAGATGCGCTAACTACGATGACCTACATAAAAAAGTGACCGTCTCTAATGAAAGTTGCGCATTTTCGAATTACAGAGTTGAAGTGTTTTCGATTTCACTGATTCATCTACCTCGCAGAGTAAAACTTTAGCGTAAAAATCGGTTTCGACATAATTATTTGGAAAATTTTGATCACACGCAGAGAGTTTTCTTCTTCTTCTTCTTCTTTCTTTATTTATTCCTTCTGAAAAATAGACGGAAATTGTTTCATTCAACCCTACAGTAGCCCAGACTCCACTGTATTCATTTCTCAAATCAACTCGTTCGTCTCGATTTTCAGTTCGAGGTGGAAAGTGTGGAAACGTTCATAAACAAAGCCCTGCATGAGCACTCGTTTGACGGACAAAACTTGCAAGAGGCGGAAAAAGATTTGAGAGAGGAGGTGAAAAGGAGTCTAGCTCCTGGAGCTACGCATATCGTAAGGAAAATTGGTGATCCCAAATGGGAAACTGATCCATCAAAAGTTCCATCCTTCTTCGACGCCAGAGAAAGATGGCCGGCCTGCGCCCCGCAGATTAGTTTTGTGGAAGACGAGGGAAATTGCTACACAGATTCGGTCAGTAATAATGATTATTCTAACTAGGCGGCTGCGTTTCCTGACCGCTTCGCGGTACAACCCCCAGGAGCATTGCATACGTTATGCGTTGCACGTTACTTTAAATCTTTTTTATTACAGAGTAAGATATCTGTAGTTACAGGTCAAAGAACCGTAACTGTATTTTCACCGATTAAAAAAACCAAGTGACAGCTATATCGTTTGCAGGGTATTTTTCAGATTAAAAAACCCGGCAACTTAGGGTTTTAGATATCATGATTATTCTTTTACACAAGATTCCTCACTGTAGGTACGTTGTGAATTCAAATGAATTGAATTCTCCAAAATTGTTTACAAGAACTACAGTAAAATTTTCTAATTTCCCAAATTCAGCTAATCAAACTTTTGACTTTCTCATATTTTTATACAAGATGAATATAATCGATGTGTGCTGTATTTTGTATATAATACGGGTGTAAATATGTTGGTCTTAATACTCTCTCATATTATTTTCATACAATTGAATTTTAGGTCACTACAACTTGGCTGTTGTTTTCTCTTGTTTATTGTGTTGGTTATTTCTTTGGCTTTCAAATCCAGGTACGCTTATTTCAGAAATTTTGAGTATGCATTTTGACTTTCATTGAGTCAACACGGTATGTAAAATTATATGTGCTCTGAATTTACAATTTCTTTGAAAAAGAGGTGTTATGTATTCCTTGGGGAACGTTGCAACGCTCCTTTCGACGAAGAAACTCTCCATTTCAGTCTGAAAGAAAATCAACAAATCGGAAACCAATGAGTATACTTGGAAAAGCTACATGATGAGATACCGAGGCTTTACAAAGGCTCTTTCACGTAAATTATGCCAGTTTTCCAAGAGTTGTCCGTATAAAGTTTGATTCCTGATTTATATAACATTTTTTTTTACTAGGTAAATACATTTGAACCGTATTATTGATGAAAATTGCGTTTTTCTCTCCTGTTATTTCATGTTACAGCCTTCTGTAATTTCGTCTGTCTTGACCGATCGGTATTGTATATTTACCAACGGCACTTGGAAGGAGAGGTTTTCACAGGAGATGCTTATAGGTTGTGCTGAGCTGTGCACTGGCAATTCCGTGCAATATTTTTCTTGGAATTACGCCAAAACTCAAGGACTTCCTACCGGTGGAACTCATGGATCAGGCAAGGTTTGTTAATCATTAAAAAATCCAGTAATTTGCAAAAATACTTTGTGCAAAAAGTATACGACCGCTAAATCGTCTTTCAAGTATCCAAGAATATGTTGAAGTTACAAACATAACATGATTCCATAATACGGAAATACATATTTTTTAAATGAAAATTCATTGATAATTCAGATCGCATTTATTTTTTCTGAAGCAAACAATCCAATTTTTTTTCTTAGATTATTTTCGAAATATCTTTTAAAAGGCAGGAAACAAATCACTGAAATATTCAGAAGAACACGTCGACTCGTTTTCTATTTTTACACTGGAAAAAAAGACGCTTGGATCTAGAGTCCAGACTCTTAAAAACATTGACATGAAAAAATACTCTTGATTCAATCGGATTTTTGCTTAAATCGAGAACCAATTCTCTTAATTTAAGCAGATTTCCTTTTGATCCAAGCAGAAATCCGATTGAATCAAGCGTATTTTTTCTTGTCATTGTTTTTAGGAGTCTGGACTCTACATCCAAGCGATTTTTTCTTCCAGTGTAAGCATGACAAGAGGTCTTGCCGAATATTCACGGCCAATTTTCTCTTCTCATTTCAGGGATGCGTGCCTTATACCTTGCCTGCATGCGATCATACACCTTGGTATAAAACAGAAGGCCTTAATAGAGACAATGTGAGTCCTTGCAAGGGGATTATCTTTGACCACGATTGTCCCAAGAAGTGTACAAACGCGAAGTACAAAACACCTATTGACAAAGATCGAATTCGACGTAAGTAACAAAAACATTTCGAAAACTATGGAAAATGCATGCCTTTGGATCGTGAGGCTATTTTCATCTAATTTTTGGTATTTGAAACACGCACATTCATCTTGATAGTTTTTTAGGTAAAATCTATGTTCCTTCTATGTTTTTGAAAGTAACAAATACTTTCTCCGAGAAAAGTTGAAAAGCGAGGCCTAATTTTGTCTTTCTAATCCTCGGCTGTGTTGCTCACGCAGTCCGTTGACCTTGAGGCACCGCTACAAATTAGACAAACGAAACCAACGCAACATCAAAGTAGAACAGGGAAAAGTACGCGCGTTGATGGCGGCGCAAAGATACAGCTATTCGTGTTTGATGGATGACAGTGTTGCATCTGCAAAATTGAAGGCGCTCTGCTCGATGCCGCCAATGAGATGTCGCTTGGATTCGGGAAAAAAATAAAAAGACGAGGCCCGTCATTTTTGTGTTCGTCAGTGGCGTGGCGTGCTTTGCGATTTATCGATTGATCTGCCATTTAAACCTCTGGAAAAGGATCGATATACAGGGCGTTCGCAACAATCACCCTGATACTGCCGTGCTAAGCAAGAACGCCGTAAATCCATCAAGATTTTCCCTCGTTTTTTTGAACTTAACACTTCATAAAATAAAACAAGCGGGTAAGTTCTAATACTGTCGTATTAGAAAAGCGCTCAGGTGTTAGTCAATGTATTTAGTGAAGAAAGGAGGTATAAACTCCGTCGACTTGGCTGGGTAATGGAAATAAAACATCAGTTGATAGCAAACAAAGGTTACCAAGGAAACCGTAAACGCGTTTTTTCGTTTCCCGAAAATGATAGTCACCGTTAAGCTCATCAGGCGCGTTTTTTTTTGGCTTCGTTTGAGTTCAACGATCAATTTCGATAAGAATTACTCTACCGCTAAGAAATTTTCTTATAGACAAACGATCGAAACTACCTGCGCATTACGTTAAAAGCGTAAAATACGGTTTTCACAGCTTTATTTATTTTAAAACTGGACCCTCCCCTCCCCCCCCCAAAAAAGCCTACACATCGATGAGCTGGTGCGCCATTTAAACGCATTAGCACTAGTATACTAGTCCTCAGAGGCAAGTCGAAATCAAAAAGCGCTGCCTATCGGCTGAGCGCTTAAAATATTTTACCCATGCACCTCAAATTTTTAGGTTAAGTACTTGCCAGTATTTGCGAAAGAATTCTATAAAACATTGTTCTAAAGTACACAACTTTTTCTGCTATGATACATTGTTTCCAAAAAATGTAAAATGGCATTTACGGCGTTTTTACGTTGCACGGCAGAACTGGTAATCAATTTCTACCACAGCTAAAAATGGGGAAATACCGATAATCGATCATTCACGCCAAGCCACTGGTGTCCATAGCCTCCCTGCCTCCATGAGATTATAGAAGAGTGAGATGGGAATAATCTATCTATAAAATGCCTCTGAGATGCGGAAAGTCATTCATGGCCATTTCAATAAAATTAAGCTCGAAAATACATGTTTTTTGTGTTATTATATTCTCTTTTTTGTTTTTGAAATCTAGCGACAACGTTTTACCATATGTTAAAGAGCGAGTTTTACGTACGAAACGAGATCATGAATTACGGCCCTGTAATGGCAAGAGTCTACTTATTCGATGATTTTCTGGAACAACCCGTCGGTAAGTATTCGAGAGAAATTGGTTTCAGGACGCCTGAATAAATTCGACACTGAGAGTAAACAATCATAAAGATATCGAACACATTTTGTTAAAACCCTGGTTCCACCTTACAATTTTAAGCAAGGAAAGGATTTATTACGCGCCTGTTTCCGGCTGTTTCTCTCCAAAAAATCTAGATCGTATAATCTGAAATTAAGCTGAAAGTATGCAAACGCGAAACATTCCTTTTAATTAGTCAAATCGAGCGATTCATTCTTTCGTTCACTGAAAAAAAACTCCGGCCGTGGGAGCCGCAATTACGGGCTATATAGACATACCGTCCGTTCTGGGCTCAAAGGCCGAAAATTCCGGCTGCTGGAGGCGTAGCTTCGATTGCTCCGAGTTCAGAGGCCAAAACTACGGCTCCAGCAGCCAAAATTTTCGGCCTTTGAGCCCGGAACGGACAGTATGTCTGTATGGCCCGTAATTGCGGCTCCCACGGCCGGAGTTTTTTTTTCTGTGTTCGCATGTTGTCAGCTTAAATTTAGATTTTATGAAGAGATTTTTTGGGAATGAACAGCTAAATTATGCTTCTAGGAGCAATTGATTTGTTTCTGCCAAAAATATAGAATGAAACCAGCATTTCGATAAAATCTGTTCGATGCCTTTTGATTTACTTAAACCCGCAATACACTAACCTTAAACCAAACGTTCTCTTTGTAAAGGAAAAACCTCCTTTCGGGCACAATTCCTCATTTCCCGGAAGAGAGAACGTAACTCCATTCCAAAGTTGCTAAATTGACTCGAACAATTCAATTTTTTCAAGAACACTAGGGAAGGCCCAAAAAAACTGGAATTTTGCTGTAACTTGGCAACAATGAAAAATATTCGGGTTCCACTGCTAGAAGGTGTAACTAAGAGCTATGAAAAGTTAGGCCGAATTTCAACATCGCAGCAGATTTTCTTGAATTTTGACGAGACTTGGTTTTATGGGTTTGTTGGGCGAGTTCGTCGTGTTTGAAGATGGGTTAATTTCAGTGAAAACACTTAGCGCTCACATTTTTTCTGTCTTACTTGATAAAAACGCGGCTTTCTCTGTTAAATTTTTAAAGTGCTGCCTCTGAAGGACAAGCCTCATCAAAAACTTCAGTCCCGAGTCACAATCATCGCTTGTATTTGTAAAATCGGCCACTAGCTCAACTTTTGATTTCATCATTATGAGTAGCCGAAAACCGAAAAATCTTCTCATTTATAAACATATATTTCTTGATGACCTTTGTTTGATATTGGAATTTGAAGATTGGCAGTGACAATGGAGATGTTGCATGTGTGAGGAATTTGCGATTTGACTGTTGATTCTTTTGTAAAAGTTCGCGAGAAACAAGATGTGGCCACTGGTTTTCTCTGAAATTAACTCCCAAGCTCAAAAAAGCTCTCAAGTTGGGGTCAAAATGGAGGGGATATCCCACGCTATTCTGAGAGTCCACCTCTACATCAAAACAAACTCTCCATGCAAAGATAGGGAGCAAATACATTGACAGGGCTGCCACTTTATTTGGGGACTCCAAAACTGAAAACACGGCAACCCTGCCAATGTATTTGCTCCCTATCTTTGCATGGAGAGGCTGTCTTGATGTAGAGGTGGACTCTCCGGATAGCGTGGGATATCCCCTCTATTTTGGCCTCAACTTGAGAGCTTTTGTGAGCTTGGGAGTTGATTTCAGAGAAAACCAGTGGCACCATCGTGTCTCTCGCAAACTTTTACAGAAGAATCAACAATCAAATCGCAAATTCCTCACACATGCAATATCTCCATATTATTTCAGAGGGTTAGCTGCCTTTTCCTTATATTTATAGTTGACAAGTCCATACTCTTGTTACATAAGTACTCGAACTAAGCCTATTGACGTTTTGTTTTTTATGCTCATGCCAGGAATTTGGGAAGAAAAACCGGGCCGGAAAAGAGTCGGTTGGCTGAAGTACTTCAAAATCATCGGATGGGGGACGGAGAACGGGATCAAATATTGGCTCTGCGTCCACACGTGGGACACCTGGGGCGACAAGATTTTCAAATTTCCGCGGGGTCAAAATTTAGACGGCGTAGAGTCCCTCGTCTCCTGCGCCGTATTTGAGGATCTTGATTGATGCAACACACCGTCTAGCCATCACCATGATATACATCTGGTGCAAAGCTTTCATTTCTGAAGCTTTAACCATCTCTGGAGAAAAAAGCTAAATGACATCATACTAATACTGGATTAATATCAAAACTCAAATTTCAGAATTTTTGATCCAAACTTTCCGTCAAAAGTAGACATATTCACTGGGGAAAAAAACACATTGGATCTAGAGTCCAGACTCTTAAAAACATCGACAAGGAAAAATACTCTTGATTCAATCAGATTTAAGCTTAAATCAAAAACCAAGCCTCTTAATTTGAGCGGATTTCCTTTTGATTTAAGCTTGGATCTGCTTGAATCAAGAGTCCTTTTTTTTGTCAATGTTTTCAAGAGTCTGGACTGGTCTGGACTCTAGATCCAATGTGTTTTTTCCCAGTGTTTAGTGTGACGTCACATCTCGATATAGTTTCAATACCTTGATAGTCGGAACGTGCCCCAACACACGAACATAACCTCCAATGTGAATAATTAGAAGAAACTACATGAGAAATAGGCGGGGCGGGGGGGGGGGGAGGGGTGTTTGATAACTTAAGTATGATAGTGGAGGCATGTGAATGTGCTTTCGTAATTCTACAGTCCTATGGATTAATTTTTTGGTTTTAGAATAGTTTAAGCATTCTTCCGTCAGTTGCTAATTTTGGAAGTTATGTTTTTTGGTTGGGGCACATTTCGACTCTCGAGATATCAAACCGTTAGTATCGTTCCGTGACGTCACCACTAAATGCGTCTACAACGGAACTTAGGGCATGGACCATTATGGTGTCTAAATTCCATTTGTCACCTGTTTTTTTTTAGACTTACCTTTGCTTTCATACTTGCATGTATGATTTTTTAACCTGTACCTATTGATTATTTAGATTTCTGTGCTTTCTGCGGACATATTGAATTATTATTCTTTGTGGCTTAAAATGATCCTAAGATTTGTATTTGCTGTGAATTTATAATTATTTTTTTTCGTTTGTTAATATGAATTTATAATAAATGATTTTGTCATATTATGAAATTGAAAATAACTTATTTTCACTCCCTTCTTTCCTGGTGCATTTCGATCAATGTCTTGCTATGACTTTAGGCTAAAAATAAATGAGACGTGTGGAAAAACTGTTGAAGATCAATAACAGGGAAAAAATTAAATTGCTAAAAAAAAAAGTGATTGCGATATTTCAAAGTAGATTTCACAACCAAAAAATGCTACTTTAACCACTAGCGGAAGCTAATTTAACCACGAGGGTGGTTAAAGTAGCATTTTCTTCTTGTAAAATTTACATTGAAACATTGCAGTCACTTTTGTTTAGTAATTGACTTGTTAAGCCAGCAGTTTAATTTTTTCCGTGAATATACGAAATCAAATTTTTATGGAGAAATTCATGTTAAAGTGTGAGAGGTTTAACTTTAACAGAAATAAGAACTGCTCAAAACAATTTTTTCAGACTTAAAAATAAAGGATAAATCTTACTCTATAAGATTAAATCATCAGAATAACGCACGCCGCACAGTCTAACGAACTAAATAGAAGAGGTCGGACATGAAATTTTTGACTGAAATGTCAAATTTAGGTGTTTATTTCGTCTCTGGTGCAATTTCAAAGGGTGTTTCTGAAAGGATTTTTTACGGAAAAACCAATGAAGCCACTCGTAAACTTCTTTGTTCCATATTTTCGAAAATATAAACTTTCAAAGTTTCCAAATTTTGTCCGACTTCTCCCATTGACTTGATCCATTGTGCGACGCCTGAAATGCCAAGCCCTTAATATAAAGGGTTGGACCGTAAAGCTGTCCAGGGTGCACCCCCTAGAAAATGAAAGAGAGTTGACTATTGATTAAATGATTCTTTCATAAACTTCCTCATATTTTTGCACAAATGGTTTCTCACAGCGAAATGGAACTATGGTAGAAAATCTCCTGGGACATTGTTTGTAACGAGTAACAACCCTGCATAGAGGACATTTTTACATGGGCAAACCTTTTTTCTAGGGAAACTTAAATGGGAGGCATACAATTTTACTTTCTTTAGTCCAAAACTTAGTCCTAAACGGAGGTAAGTGGACTTGAACTTTGGCCATAGAATTGACATTAAACACAGATTTAGCGAGAAATAACCCATACTGACCTAAGTACGTTAAAAGCCAAAGGCAGTCAGGGTTCTTTGTCTTCTGGAGATGGACTCTTTCACTTAATTATTAAATTAATAAATTAAATAAAATAAATAAATTTTACTGATTACAAAACATTAGATTAAATTTTATTATTGAAGCCAGCTTACCACTTCTGGCTCCTTTTTTAGCATTGAAAGTTTAGAATTCCTTGCTCATTTTACCAAAAACGTTAATTAATTAAAACACTGTATTAATTGAACACTAACAATCATTTTTTATTTTAAAGTCGAACATGTTTTTACCGATCTTTGCTCACCAAGTTCATTTTAAAGACATAATAACAACATACTTAAGGGAAATGCTGCAAAACAATAAACAAGCAGGAAAGTCCAACACGAGGTGTTGAAGAAGCGCGGCATGATCACGAATAATCCTAATTTAACCGACGATTTATGGGAAGAAAAGCAGTTCAATCGATGAGTGACAACTCGAACTTATTATTAGAGGGAAGCTATGAAGTATATATGGATTATATGGTGCCAAAAGGAAAACAAAAACATTTCCGTGCAAATGTGAGCTGCGAAGATAAAAACATAAACATTCGTCGCATAAAATAAAATGTTATCCCCAATAATAGATGTCAAGTAAAATTTATTGATATTAATTTAAAATTTCTCCTGTCTACAACACTATTATCGGGAAAACGCAAGATATAGAAAATTTTTTTTAAAAAAATCGGTTCAAACTTATCGATATATTTCGTAGTTCAAAGCAACTTCTGTCATCACAACTTGCGTTTGGTTTATTTACGGTCAGCCGCAAATAAAGTGAACGTTAATCTGACCCTATGAGAGAGTTCAAGTACAACTCATATGCTACTTGAGACAACGAGACCAAGTTTAACAAAATTGAATTTATCAAGTTCAGAAGCTAAAACAGCCATTTTGGCCTTATCCACAATCTTGGATTTGAGAATTTCGGAAATTGGACTAAAAATTCGAGTTTCTCGTTGAAAAATACCGCCTCGTACCGAGTTTTACGAAAATCGATGGAATAGGAGCCAATAGATGCAATATGGGGTGCAGGAATGACGTGTCGCCGTGAAGGAGGTGAAGAAGACGGGGGAGTCAACGATTAAGGTCTCGTGAAGTCATAGCAATGATTGGTGGGTCGCTGGACAATTGGTAACTTGCTGGTGTATGTTGGCCTTCACAGCCTGCCGAAATGACAGCCAATCGGAAACCCTGTTGAGTGGCCTCGCAGCTTGCACGTGTAACCCATGAGGAAATTTCAAACAGCGATCTGCTCTAAGCAAATTGGTAGCTACGTAAATATTAGACAGCTTTAGCAGGACATAAAGGGTCATAATAGATTCCTTTGTTCTCGGCATTAATTAAAAACAAGTTGGATTTTGCAATCGCTAGCGATAGCAATATTCGTCATGGGAACGTTAGCTTCTGGGATATGAAAATGTTAAGGTACAGTTCGTTTGTAGTATCTTCTGAATTGAAGGGGCTATGTAATTTTGTGTTGACATCTCTTTTTTAACATTTTTAATTATTTTCTTTGCATACAAGAAAGCTGTT